CTATATGCAGAATTTTATGCTGAATCTAATTATCCCCAGAAAAATAGGGGGTGCAATTTAAAAAAACTTAAAACTTAATAACTTTTTTTGTGACACGCTGTATATAATAAAATATTTTTAGGACATGCCTTCTTAGAAACCATGCAATATCTATATAATTTTGTTTTCATATTTTCGACAACGACGACGATATTGGACTTCGTCGCACTAATGGGCCACCCTGTATAAATATTCAGGCAGAGATATATGCGATTTGGAAGGTCTACCAATGGCTGAGCGAGGAGACACCTTCCAGGCCCTTTTTATTTCAAATTATTTATATTAGTTAGAAAATAGAAAGTAAAAAGTGTATAATCATAGAATTTATGGTAAAAATTTTACTTTTACTACAGAATAATGTTTTTTATTCGAAAAAATACATACTTTATTATACAGTTTTTTTGTTTTCCCCGTATAAATTAATTGTTAAAATATCTAGACCGTGCAGGTCAATATCACACAGGTTGTTAACTGAACGTCTACATTTTCATTTTCTAATTGTCTCTAATTAATATCTGACTAATTAATAAATTAAAAATTTTGCTCTCCTCTTCAATAAATGCATTCCAAAGAACCACGTATTAAAATATAAAGAATGTCGGTACAGGAATAGAAAATCCGCATTCCCCGTGTTAAAACTGAATTTTATAATGTAATTCGATATTAAAAGTAATACCGAATACCGTATCGACGTTATTCATTAATATTGTTGCTCTGGAATTAAAAGCAAGCAGAGCATGTAATGGAGTAGTTCAAAAAGCGTGTCATTATGTCATTATAGGTTTGTTATTGTTGTTAATAAGCTCTAACAAAAACAATAGACAATTTTGTTAATGTACAACTCAGATACAAAAATAAAACGCTACGGAGAAATTTTTGGTCAAATTTACAGTGTTATATTTTTGTTATTTTTAGCTCTATTTTCATGATTTTTTTAGCAACCTGTATATCATTATATCGACTTTAATTCGTAAACTCAGTTTTCTATAAACTTTAGTACCGTATGATCGAAAAAAAACGGCGTCCAGTTGGCTGGGAAATGAACATCAATGACATTTCCCATATAAATTTACATATAAAATGACAGCGATCTTCATTCCATAGCCATCGCTGACGCCGTTTTTTCTCGATCATACGGTATTTTGCATATTATACAGGATTAAAGAAAAGGGGTTGTTTTTTTACTTTAACTTTAAAACACCCTGTGCAATATATTCATTTGTACAGGGTGGGTCAAATTCGACGCTTTTAAATGGAAACACCCTTTTCTATAGGAGATAGACGAAAACTAATATCGGTGTCTGTAGCTCAATTTTCATCAAAAACATGATGGTGAAAACCGCACATCAATATCTGTTACCGTTTCGGAGTTACGGGGTGTTTTTCAAAAATGTGCATTTTTATTTTTTACCTTGAAAACGAAAAGAGATAGACTAATGAAATTTTATGGAAGCATTACTGTTATGAAAACACACTTTCTGGTTATTTTTTCACTTTTTTAAAATCAGTGGAAGGAGTTGAAATAAACTACCCCTATCATTCTTGTTAACGAAATTTAAAGAAAAATCTTATCAAACACATGCCAAAAAAATGATTTGGATAGTTTAGTTTGTTTAGAAACTTTTTTATCTCTTGTGTTTTTTTGATAAAACACCGATTTGAAATTAAAAAATAAAATGTAAAGCATTACATGTCAGGACAAAAACATTTTTATTTTTTTAACGATATTATTTTGTACTTTCATGAATTAAAATACAGAATTAAAAATTGTCTTGGTAAATAATTTTTAAGGAGGTTATCGATCAGAAGAAAATGTAACGATATTATTACGAAATAAAACTATTTGACAGCAGCCCACTAGATTCTTTATCTAAAAATGTTTTTAAATAAAGAATCCTGACATGTGATGCTTTACATTTTATTTTTTAATTTAAATTCGGTGAATTTTATCAAAAAAACACAAGAGATAAAAAAGCTTCTAAACAAACTAAATTATCCAAATTATTTTTTTTGCATGTGTTTGATAAAATTTTTCTTTAAATTTCGTTAACAAGAATGATAGGGTTAGTTTATTTCAGCTCCTTCCACTGACTTTAAAAAAGTGAAAAAATTACCAGAAAGTGTATTTTCATAACAGTAAAGCTTCCACAAAATTTCATTAGTCTATATCTTTTCGTTTTCAAGATAAAAAATAAACATTATTTTTCCGCCATCTTTGTACCGCGATATCTCCCTATTGGTTGACTTTTGACCCAACGTTTATGAAGCAAACTACCCTTTATTTTTACGGTCAGAACTATGTCTCCTGAGCATTTTGTTTTTTGGATCATGTCAATACATGCCTTGATTAATTTTTAAGAGATAATGAATTTGCCACCAAAAATTTGCAATTTTTTTAATCAATAATTATATATATACAGTTGGCTAAAAAAAACTAGAAAAATAGGGCTACAAATAACAAAAATCACTTTAAATTTAACCAATTTTTTCTGTTGAATCGAAATTATAAAAATTTGAGAGATGTTTGCTGGTGATCTTAATACTTAAGTCAACTAAAAAATAAAGAAAGGACTGTTCACACTTTTCACTCAGGATAAATCATTCAATAGGGGAAAGATCTCTGAGTGGCTCTTTGGATGAACCAAAAATTAAAGAAAATCTACACTCATAATGGTTCCCCCAAGATGATCATTCAAAGTGACAAATGTAATTGAGCCTATATTCTAACTTTCAGTAAAATTTGTAGAAAAAAATCTACAGAAATCTAATAAACTTATTTAATTACTTACCTAGTTTATCGATATGGTTGACATGCAAAATATGAACCCATTTTTAAACACTTATCTATTTCCTCTTTTCTATTTCTTTTTTTTTTAATTAAATCTATTAATCCTATTAATTACAAATGACAGGCACTATAACTGTCAGATTGAATTTCTTTTTTGAAACGTTTGACACATATAGGCTGAAGATTTCGAACTCGAATTCTAATTATTCTTTGACATTTCAAAAACATTGCCTACTCCGAAGTGAGCTACGTTGTTGTATGATATTAGTTTTATTTTACATGTTATGTAATTTTATAACTATTTATTTTTATGGTATGAAAACTAGATGCCATCTTTATTTATAATCCAAATTATATAATTACATTTTTAAATTCAATATTCAGTTTTATACACTTGAACCACTTTCAGTTTTACTTTATACAAAAATTTTAGTTACCGTATGAAAGATAATTAATACATTTTTGTGACAGTTTTTGATAGAATTTATATTTATATTCTCTATATTAATTTAAAAAAAATATATCAATAAATAAAATACTTTTCAGCACTTTTTCAAATAATAATTAAAAATACAAATTGATATGTCCTGAAGTCAAAAAGCAAAGCTCGTTATTAGTAAACTTTTAATAAATATTGTACATAGTGCTCAAAATCTAATGTCAAAATAGACAAAATTTTCAGAGATATTAACAAATAAATAAATAATAATATATATTTTTCAGCCTTTCTTAAAGAAATATTAAAAATACAACTGTGCTAAAATCAAAACAATATTAGGAATTTACGTTAGATTCCTAAATAATACAGGATATTTAAAATTCTAGGCCAAACTTTCCAATATAAAATAATTTTTCTTAGATTTTTTAAATAAAACACTCTGTATATTATTTTTTTCAATAGATGGAGAATTAAAAAATGAAAAATTTTTGTATTTACAGTATTTCAAATTTTTAGCGGTTTCCCAGATATTCGCGGTTTTATATTTCATATGGCATTTGCCACAGTAAATTTTTATCAAAAAGCCACCCAATCAATTTTCGCTCCATTCCACCGTTGAAAGAGCCATATGAAATGATACTGCGTGTATCTAGGAAACCATTAAAATTTTTCAAATACTTTAAATACAAAAAATGTTCATTTTTTAACTCTCCATGTAATAAAAAAAATAATATACAGGGTTTTGCCTTAAAAAAAGCCATGAAAAATAAATTATTTTATATTTAAGTTTGGCGTAGAATTTTAAACACCCTGTATGATTTAAGATTACGATATTTATAGCAAAGTAAATATAGTCCATCTAAAGTAAATACCTAATATAGTTTTGATTTCAGGACAGATCTTGATTTGTAATAATTTTTTAAGAAAGGTTGCTAAATATATATGTTTTATTTATTTATTAATATCTCTGAAATTACCGAAATATATTTACTCATATCTTAGGATTATGTCAAGTGATCCTGAAACGAAACCAAAACTGCAATAATATACATTTTTACTGTTTAAAAAAAATCGTCCCGATCCACTCACTTTTTTGAGCCACCCTATAGAAAATAAAATATTTTTTTGAAATACATCCTCGTTCATAAAAGTCTCAAGTTTTTTTATTCTAGGAGCTACAGATGCCCGAGGATTTCCGGACCCTGTAAATTATTAATATCAAAAATGAAAACAGCCAAAAATGTTTTCCACAAAACTTAAACAGTAAAAAATAGACTTTTTTTAAAGTCTAAATATTTGATAACAATAAACACCCAGTGCAATTAATACATTAAAAAATTAAACAATGCATTCTGCACTCACTATTAAGTATGAGAATTTTTCCATATATATCTGTTAAAACAATCTACCAAACACCGATCAACTTAAAGTCTACTAAAGACATTTAAAAAAGGTCTAAATTTCTGATAATAACAAACGCCCAGTGTAATTTAGAGATGGAAAAAATATTCTTCAGAATACAAAAATAAAAAGCTATATTATGTATGAGAAATGAAAAAAGTTACTTTTTTAATTATATAACTTCAAAAAAATGAACTTCGGCACTAAAATTCTTCAACTCGAGGAATTTTTCTCAATATATCGGTTGGCATTTTTTAATACACCGAAAAATAAAAAAAAACATTCTCACAAAATAAAGATATTCATAAAAAATCAAATCAAAATAACGCTTACCTTAATTTTTTTTCAATTACACACCAATCACTCCAAAAAATACGACACAAAACTCTTTTAAACTTAAAACTTCTACACCAGTCCCATTTTTCTCAATATCTTAATACATTAAAGTCTTTTTACAACAAAATAATCAATAACAATCGACTCAACAATCAAAAAACTCAAAGTTCCTTCTTCGACCGGCGAAAATCGTTTGACAACAAACATAAACAAAACCGCATCTACATCGCGCCAATGACAGCTATACGTCCGGCCACGGCACACTATGCAGACACGCTGTACGAATGCGTCTGCTGCTATACGAAAATCCTGCTGGTTCTCATGGATGATCGTAGCAGGCCGATGCTGCTGGCTGGAGTCCCACAGCTGTTCCGAAAGCTTTCGCTCTCGCTTGCTTGATGAAGCGCCGGCGATATGAGGGTGGATGTATACAGGGTGGTGGGAGGTAAAGGGCCAGCTTTGAGCTTGGATGAGGCGTGCGAGAGAGGAAAAGAGATGCGAGATGGGAGCTTTTGAATGGGAAAGGGTCAGGAGGAGTGGGGTTATGCTGGTTGAGCAGGGGAAGCTTTTGTTAAAATAAGACACGTAAAATACAGGCTGTCTGAAATTTAACAGGCTGTAACTTTTTTATTTTTTGAGCTAGAGCTTTCGATTAAAGACTAAATTATAGGAGTTTTAGTCTAGTTTATACAGGGGGGTCCGGCAATAGAATAAAAAACTTGGAAACTTTGTACTAAAGTATGTACTAGGATGTATTTCAAGAAAATATTTTAACTTTTACAGGGTGGCTCAAAAAAGTGTGAGTAGATCAGGATGTTTTTTTAATAGAACTTCGTGTATATTATTGCATTTTTGGCTTCCTTTCAGATCACTTTACATAATCCTAAGATATGAGTAATTATATTTCGATATTTTCATAGATATTTATAAATAAATAAAAAATATAGGTATATTTTTCAGCGTTTTTTAAAAAAAATATTTAAAATACAAAAACTGTCCTGAAATCAAAACAATAATATGTATTTACGTTAGATGGTCTGTACTTACTTTGCTATAAATATCGTAACCTTAAATCATACAGGATGTTCAAAATTCTATGCCAAACTTTCTAAAATATAAAATAAATTTTCTTAGTTTTTTTTTGACCGGTATATTATTTTTTCACTAGATGGAGAATTAAAAAATGAACATTTGGTGTTTAGAGTATTTCAAAATTTTTAACGGTTTTGCAGATATTCTATATTATTTCGCAGAAATAATACTGCGTGTATCTGCGAAACCATTAAAAATTTTGAAATACTTTAAATACAAAAATCGTTAATTTTTTAACTCTCCATTTAATAAAAAAAAATATACAGGGTGTGCCATTTTTTACTATGATTTTCCTTCGATCGTAAAACTACAGATTAATGAAGGAGACCAAACCTTTTTCAAAAATTTTTGTAGATATAAAAATTATAGATTCTTCATAATTAAACAAGAGACAGCTATCCGTGTAAGAAATTTTACAGGGTGTCCCGGAAATAAGTGCAATTATTTTAAGGAGTGGTAGATCTGGTCAAAAGAACCATTTTTTCTCTTTGCCATTTTTCAAATATGTAAGTCCAAAATATCCGAGTTATTTTACTTTGAAAATTTCCAAAAAAAAAATTCGATTCTCGATTTTCTTTCATGTAAATTTAAGCAACTACCTATGTTGGCCATATTATCGAGAAATTTTGTTTTTTAACTTAAAACTAAAAAAATCGGAATTTTGGAAAAATCCGAATTTTTTTTCAATAAAAATTCAACATTTTTTTTCGCCTGTTTCTGAGGCCGGAATATACTACCAGTTAAAGTACTTGCACTTATTTCTGGGACATCCTGTATAATATCGAGAAACTACAATTACGCTCGTTGAATTTGACACTTTTTTCCATAGCCAGTTACGTTTTAAAAGATATTCAGAAATTATTATTTCAAGGAATTTATTACGAGTAGAAAAAAATTTGTGCTGGATTGGCGTTGGTTTCTATGTAATTTGACAAATATATAAAGCTGTCTCTTTAGTTGTCAGTTTTGAGTCAATATTTTTTAATTATCTTTTGTGTCGATTGCTGATTGAATTGAAGCCAGAAACGAAAAAAGTAAATTACCAACAGATATTCAAACTGAGGCGACAAACGCCATATCCAAACTACTTCCATTTAAATCCCGAATAACTTATGAAAAGGAATACAAAAATTTTCAAAAATGGAAGCAATTAAAAAACGTGCAAGAAGAAATAAAGTTTTTAACCTATCCTAGCTGTTAAAGTATCATTTAATCTACCCTTGTGTTTAAAGTACTATTTTATCTACTATTTTTGATAGATATAAGGCAATTTTAACAGTTGTTATGGAAAAAAATATTTTAGATTGTCAATCGGCGTCGCAAAAATTAATACTTTTGTAACGTTTGAAAAAAAAAATTTTGGAAATAGATTTGAAACCATTTTTTTTGTGATCATGCGGTAGCTTTCTGTTCTATATAACCCCGACTTCCCCTACTTTACGCCATTCAACAGAGCTAAACAAGGAAAGAAACTGGAGGACGTTTCCAGACTAGGAAGAGATAAAAAGAAACGACTGTATCTAACACACTGCGAGAGCGAAAGAGACAGAATAACTCTCAAAGTAAAGAATGTGTCTGCTAGCTTGAACTTTCCACAGTTGTTATGGAACGAGGGTGTTTGTTATCCATTTTTAAGAGAGACGAATTGCGTCTGGATACTGCGGTCCTGTAGTGGATCGATAAAATTTCATGCTTTCATGCAGGAAATGGTTAATTAATTAGGTACAGGACCGTAACAAAAATATTCATTCATTACTCAAACAATCACAGGCTTTTTTTTAAAAAACGTTGGTAATAGAATAACAAATATTTAATTTATGTGAAAATCAAAAATAGTTATTTACAGTACAAGGGTACAAGTGTGTTTATGAACATGATATTACAACGAGTGTGAACGGGTGTGAACAACAGTGTGTGTATTACACCAACAACGAGTGTGAACGAGTGTTGTAATCATGTTTAAACGCACGTGTCATGTACAACGTTTTATCTACAACCGAAAAATAAGAAAATGCTGATTTAAAATTTTCGTTTATTAGTCGCCCACCTTTAACTATGACATTTGTGACATTTTTAGTTGTCACATTTTTAGCATTGCCTGGAAACTTTGAATAAGAAGACTAAGGAAGGAGCATAATGCTATCCATGTATTCATGCATGGTGGGCGGAAAAAGCGCCATAAAAGCACTCTAGGGTGGGGATCCTTGACAGTTCTGTTTCACGATGCATTTGACACATTTGAATTTGATTTGAAATTTTGTGGATTTGTCAGTCTTTATGGATCTTATTTTATGTTATTTATTATTTATTCTACTACTGATAGTTGTATAAAGGTAGTAAATCTAGATGTAAATTGTAGCAGAACTTAAATTAACAGTGACATTATCGCGATTTATCGAAAAAGACTCTAAAATAGTTGGTTGTGTAGCGTGCGGTAGATCTCGGCAAAAATTGAGTGAAATAATGGAACAACTTTTCGCTAGTAAGTGACTATATAATATACATACGTGTAGTAAACCGATCATTTATGAAATTCACTTAAATTAACTAAATTATATATTTTCTTGCATTTTAGCTTTTATTTACTACTTGTCAAAGATCAGATCTCAAAGAATTTTGATACGTTAATTTGACTTACCTGCTTCAGTAGCGTATCGGATGTTTGTGTTAATAAATACTTATTATAACTTATCTATTTTTATTAGAATTATATATTTTTATAACAATTTTAATAACTACCAACATTTATTCACAACGTAAAATAAAATAACAAATTATTGAGTCTACCCCACGTCTACCCTACATCATAGTTTTACATTTTTTAAATAAAATTAGAACCCCATTGAGGCCCATCGAACACAAAACACATTAGAACCCCATTGAGGCCTATCGAAACAAAATTGAGGCCCATCGCGGTGTACCGGTGTGGTTTTAAGATTTTTGATATGCTCCTTCCTTAGTCTTCTTATTCAAAGCCTGGAAACTGACATATATCACCTTATATGGTGAAATTTTGATAAAATAATTTAGTACTCACTAAAAACACGGTATGTCGCTAGTGGTAGGAAAAATAATTTTTAGAGGTTACTAGTTTATTTGGTTGCCTGTGATATGCATATACAGGGTGTTTCCTAATTAATCTAAAAAATAAAAAATCGGCTTAAGGCGGGCTCTTAATAAGTATATTTATTTTTTTCTCGGCAACCGTTTGATGAACAAGAAAAACTCAAAAGATCAATTTTGTTGAAAAAGGATGGCCAGTCAAGAAAAAAATATATTTTCTTTAAAAAAGCAGTAGTGTACCATTTATTTTAAACAAAATATCGATTTTTTTTTAATTTTTAACACCTTGTAGATCAGAAAGTAAGTACTTTAGACCCGATGGTTATATAAAATTGTTTTAAGAACACATGAGGAATCACACCATAATTTTTTAGACTAATTAGAAAACACCCTGTATATTGTCAACTTGACAATGATTATTGATAAATCAAAAAATACCTTTTCTGTGAAAAAAGCCCGGTTTTCGCAGGAAAAATTTTGATTTTTATTGAATTTGGGCCTGCGTCTGCAAATACCGGTATGTTTTTTAATATTCTATCTATTTAAATTTTAAATATCATAGTCAGAAATAGTTTTATTATTTATTAACTGTAACTGTTGTTTCACCGAAATGATTACATCTTTTGATTTTTAAAGGCACTCTCGGTATATTGCTATAAAATAGTTTTGATCGTCTAATAGGTTTCGTGTCTTGTCTAAGCCGGTTAAAAGATGTACAAATCGTATTTTTAATCATACATATGTCAATTTTTTCAAATGGAACAAGGGTGACTCATTAGCATATCTAAAAAAGCATTTTTTTTATGAATATATTGATACCACACACTTGGTATTTCGAGTTAAATTGTCGTTATGAACCGCGTGTTACAATTACAATTAAACCATATGCGAAAATGTCAAAAGTTGACATATGATATGAGTTCAGAGTGTCATTTTCTATTCAGAGTGTCATTTTCTATCGAATAAAGTAGAAATATACCGCGGGTGCCGTTTAAAAATTAAAAGTTATAGTTATTTCCGGTGAAACAGGAAGTGACGACCAAAAACATTGAAACGTCAATCAATCCTAATTTATGTCATATACTAACATACTAAATCTTGTTTTTTATTTGAAAATATAAAAAAATTATGGGGATGAGCCACTTTTGGGACGCACCCGGTATAATAAAGACAGTACCGAGTTAAATAAATGTAGTTTTCATTTTATCCACCTCCTATCACCTTCCTTGCTTTAATGGAACAGATTTATGTTTTCTCTAATTTACATAATAAGACATCACTTAACCAGAAAAAAAATTATAGCAATCATATTTTTTTTTCTCTCCCCGTCGCTGATTCTATTATATCTGTGGAATAGATCCTGTTTTGATTAATATTAGGGGTTGTAAATGTTTGACTAAAATTAATAATTTATTATTATTAATTTCAAAAATTACGTAATTTCGATTATAAAATTTCTTCTATAACGTGAATTTTATTATTTTTATCCTTTTTGGACTCTAAGCCTTTTTTTCTAAATTTTTATTTAAAAAACCTGTCCTAAATCTTAATAAAATATAAAAAAGTTTAAATACGATATATTTTTAATTTAATTATAGCTTCATTAAAATAAAAAAATTACCTGGCTATGATACGGAGAGTTCAGGTGTACTTGAGAAACGAAAGACAGTGTTGTGTTTCTCGGCAGAGTCGTCAGGGAACGACCGTTACGACAGAGACAACCTATCTATCGCTCGTGTCGAACTCGTTATAACCTAAAACAATAACACAACAATAACACAAACAATAACAAGACATTGTCTGACCGCATGTTCCAGCTATTTATGAATGAGATGCTCAGTCTATATTTTATTTTAAGTCTATGGCCCATACCTATTACACGCAGAAACGTCGATTTCATCATTTTCTTCATGTAATTATACTTTCTTAAAGTGTTAACGAGGAACTTTATATCAAAAAACATCTTTGTACTTATAAATTTCAGCCGAAATATCATAAACAAACTTCGAATCAAATCTAAACGGCAAAATTTAAAATGGCGCCCGACCTATGCCGGACCTTGCCAGAAGGTTCGGGAGCTGACACACAGACAAAAGAAAAGGACGCCGACTTGCATAAAAATGTTCCGTAACAAAAATCATACAGAAATATTCAGATTTTGGTCTAGGACAGTCTAGAAAGCCATATGCTTTCTACCTGGGTAGGATCGCGCCAGAACTGTTTCCAATTTTCCGGTTTACTGTCACCCCCCTGATTTACATATTTCGTTTTGAGCCATTTCTGGCTCCAATTCAATCAGCAATCGACACGAAAGAGAATTAAAAAATATATTGACTCAAAATTGACAACTAAAGAGACAGCTTTATTTATTTGTCAAATTACATAGAAACCAACGCCAACCCAGCACAATATTCTTTCTATACTCGTAATAAATTCCTTGAAATAATAATTTCTGAATATTTTTTAAAACGTAACTCGCTATGGAGAATAATATTGTTTTATAGGCGACGATAAAATTGCATTATCGTCTCCCGAAATTAATTCACTCGTGATTTCATCGCTCGTGAATTAATCTTTTCGGTCGACGATAAAATGCCATTTTATCGTCTTGTATAAAAAAATAACTATTAGTTTTCTTGCGTCTAAGCAAGCTAGAATTTTTGAGAGCATTCTAGGTTGAATATAAAAACAAAGCAATATAAATAACTTATTGTTATCCCATATTAATTTCACACAGGATATATTATTTCAAATTATCCATGAAATAACCAAATCGTTTGTAATTTAAAATAATACTGCGTATTTTTTACTTGCCTGGGCGTATTCTAATGCTAGAAAAACACAGTTGGGCGTATTATTTGTTAATAAACATTTTTAAATTTATCGATGATTAAAAGAGCGCATGCATTATGAAGTCGCAAAGGAAATTACAAAAATCACAATTAAGCTAAATGCTTATTGAAATCATTGTTGCTGAACTATGTCGAGCTCCTCAACCTTATAAAACTTTAATTTTAACCATTTTAGGGACACTAATGTTTAGTTATTCAAATTTCAGCATTAATTATGCATTTTGTGGCCCACCAACAGATTGAGAAATTATTTTGAAATAATAAATTATGCTTGACAGCAGTAAACAATCGCTTGTTTTGTTTCGAATTTTACATAATACACAAATGGAATAATTCATTGAAAACTATTCAAATCCCACTCATTAACGCAATATTTAATAATGATATTTTTCAATTAATGTCCACGGGTATTTTTCTTAAATTTTAAAAACCTTATGTTCTATGGTGCCATCTAGTAGGTTCCTTTTTTACCTCTTAAAGAAACCTGTTTCATTTTTTATATTAAATATATATTTATACAGTGATTTATAGTTAGAAAACTAAATAAATAATTTAGAATAATATAGTTTTTAATTTTGTCACCACAAATTATTATAAAAAGAAGTAAATTATATTTAAATTTAATTAATCTAATTTATCTAATATCCAGACCTTAGATATTGTATCGGCAGATGGCAACACATTATTCGTATTTTTCCAAAGATATGGTGGTAAGGAGCATGAACTTCGATGAGTAATGAGTACGCATCCAAAAAATTTTATATGTCATACAGAGGGAGAGCAATAAGTATTAAAAACAGCTGATAATATGTTCTAAAATGTTTTTCAGTTTAATTTCGTTTTTTTTTCCTATTATTGTTGCGAATTTCTGGGTTTTGCAAGATTTGTTTGGCATGTATGATAAACAGCTTTTTGTCTTCTTCTGAACTGTTTTTAGTTATTTTATGTATAATAATTTACTTAACAGTAGTTAGATAGTTTAGCCAATTGCACTATTCGTTTAGTATTTCAATCATGGCTCGTTGTGCTCATTTCATGCGCTTGGGAAAATACTTGCCTCATTCAGTACATCTTATTTTGCTTAGCGTGTTGACCGTACTCTTCGTACACACGAAAATCGGTACCCAAGACCAGAAATGCCAGCCCTAGTATATACTATAGCAGCGATATTTTTAAGATTAACTAGAGATGAAAAAAAAAAAATAAAACTATTATTACTTTCTGACCTCCCCCTGTTTGGGACGAACATAGCGGCTACCCTGATTAGAGTTCTGCGCACGTTCATGCTCAAGGATGCTCAATCTCTTTACTCTATATCTCTGAGTTTTTCATTGTTTACCTCCCTTGACGTGTTCCATAACCTCTTGTTTTTTTGTTATCTGGAAAATGCCAACATAAGCAGAAAATTAACAGCAATTAACAGTATTTTCACGATGGACCTTCAATATTGGTTATTTTGTGGCTCCGCACTAATTTTTTCCACTTTTTTAGCTGTATGTCTCTCAAAAAACTCTTAATTTATATCGCACTTATTCACAATTATATTTCTCATTTTAGTTCTGTATAATATTGATAGCATGTTCCCAAACATATCCAATTATACACAGATCGAAAAAAGAAAAGTATTTTCTTGATCCTGCCAGTGGAAAAGAGCTAGAATTTTCGTCTATTTCCGAAAAACCTACACTAAGTTTAAGTGTAGTAGTTCCGGCATACAATGAAGAAGAACGACGTTAGTATTTATAGACGAACTCATATCAAGTAATTTGCGTATTCTTTACTTATTTTCAGTACCACCGATGCTAGATGAATGCCTCGATTTTTTAGAGGAACGCTCAAAAAACATCAAGTCTTTTAGTTATGAAATTATCATTGTAAGCGATGGAAGCAAAGATAGTACTGTGAAAAAATCGCTAGAATATACCAAAAAATACGGTTCTAATAAAGTTAGAGTATTGGAACTGGAACAAAACAGAGGAAAAGGTGGTGCAGTCAGATTAGTAAGTGTTTTAAAATAGATTTTTTATTTAGCTTATACTGTTTTTTATTTATAGGGAGTGTTCAGTACAAGGGGTGCTTTAGTGTTATTTGCTGATGCCGATGGTGCATCTAAATTTGCAGACCTTACGAAATTAGAGAGTAATATTAAAGAACTAACAAAATGTAAGTTTTTAAATTTATCTGAATATATTATAAATTAAAAATATTCAGGTGACTATATCAAAGAATCTGCAAGTATAGCCGATAAATTAGCTATAGTCATCGGGTCAAGAGCGCATTTAGAAGAGGAGGCAGTTGCTAGTCGTACATTTTTCCGTACCATACTTATGTACGGCTTCCATTTTTTAGTATGGCTCTTTGCCGTAAAAGGCATTAAAGATACCCAGTGTGGATTCAAACTGTTTACCAGAAGAGCAGCTGAAATTTGTTTTAGTAGCTTGCATGTCGAGAGATGGTGAGTTTAATAATCAATGTTTAATTAAAATTAAATAATTTTTTAAGGGCTTTTGATGTTGAATTACTTTACATTGCTCAAACTCTTAAAATACCCATCGGGGAAATTGCTATTAACTGGACCGAAATCGATGGATCTAAAGTGACACCAGTATGGAGCTGGATTCAGATGGGCATAGATTTAGGCCTGATTTGGCTAAGGTATACTGTAGGAGCTTGGAAAATCAAAGAGTTAGTTAAAAACTAAATTATTTTGTATTACTTAATATTAAGTATAAATATAAAAATGTAAGTTAATATACATTTAACAAATACACTTTACAACTATGTTTTGGGAGCACCAAAAGCATCAGGCATTCTCTCAATTGTATAGCGATGCTGTGATACGTACATTATCGGAACACCAGGAATTTTTCTAATTCTCCTTTTCAAGTCCTTATCATTTGTTGCAACTATATAACATTTATGTTGTGTAACTCTTTGTACTAAACAGTCATCAGCATAAGTCCCTTTATGCAAACAGTGAATCCTCTCGAATCTTGGGTCTTTTATAATACGCAAAGCAACCTAAAATCAATAATTATTTGAAAAACCTTCCACAAATAAAAATATAACACACTTACTTTAAATTTCTGTCCTAATTTCTCCAGTTCTCCTAATACACAATCAGTAATATATGGAATGCATTTAGCATACAGACAATCCATCATATTTTGAATGATATCCAATTTATTCTTAATCGAAAAATTAATAAAATTTGTATCAATTAAAATGTGGTATGGAGGCCCCAACTGCGTGTTATATTGGAAAAATAGAGCTGAACTGACTTGCGGGGCTTCACGCACTTTAATTTGGTGGGGATCCTCAGCTTTTTTCTTTCTTGGAGGAGCTCGCAAGCTAGCTTTAATTCGAGCATCACTAGGGCTGATCATATTTTTCATCTTTGCGAATCTTTTGACGGCAATCTTTCTCGTTTTCTTGGCTTTACCCTACAAAAAAACTTGTACTGAACTGTAATAAGTTAAATTCCTTTAAAACCTACCATTTTTAAGAGATTTTAAGTAAAAAAGTCTGCAGAAAAGCCTAGAATCAACAATAAATCAGGTTAGGTGTTAGGTCATTTAAAAGTTTGGTTATGTACAAAAAATCTTCTTGATAAATTTAGCGGCATCAGCATTCTGTCACTTGATCTTGATCAAAAGATATGACATTGTTTGTAAAAATCAGTAAAAATATATGATAGTAAATAAATTAATCTATATTTTTTTAAAAATTGAAGCAATTTTGATGTAAAATACATTACATTCCATCGTTACATATCAAAAACTAAATACAAATGATGAAAAAATACTCCACGATTTTAAAAAAGATGTATATTTGTTTATCAAGCTATTAAAGATTTATTTATTGATAAATTACTTATATAAGGCTTCATTAACTGGTTTGATAAGGATTATGCGTATTTCATACTTCAGGAAAATTCCTCTGTAAATATATTTGTAAAGTTCTCTCAACTTATTGCTGCAAAATATAAAAAAATACACAAGTCATATTTTATTCTGTTCTGTACTGGTTTGTTGTTGTTGTTGCTAGTTGTTAAAAATGATTGCCAAAACTATTAAACTAAATAACGGTGTTCTTTTACCTACCGTTGGCCTAGGAACATACAGGGTAAGTTCAGATATTTGTTAAAATATTTTAAATTGTTTGTTTTTAAAAAATTAAAAAATATAACCTCAATTTGATTTTTAGTCGAAGCCTGGTGAAGTGGAAGAGGCAGTAAAAATTGCTATAGACGCCGGTTATCGTCATATCGATTGTGCCTGGTTTTATCTAAATGAAGCGGAAGTAGGTAGTGCTATTCGAGAGAAAATTGCCAGTGGGGCTGTTAAAAGGGAAGACCTTTTTATTACGAGTAAAGTAAGCCCCGCATTTAGTTTAAAAATACTGTTAATATGTATATCAAGTAATGTTGAATGTTGAAAACATATCAACTATCAACATCACAATATACTAACAAAAATCACAATAATTACGGTAATAAGTTTGCATATTTTTCTATAATAGTAGGTAAAGAAATAAAATTATATTTTTATCTACAAAGCTGACGCCTTAAAATGTAAATATTTGTACACTTTTTCTGCCTTTCTTGACAGAGGTTAAATTAATATATCTTTTATTTAAGTTTATAGAATTTTATCTGTATATTATTTTTAATATTTAAATATATTGCATCAGGATTGTTAACAATTAAATTTAGGTACCTTTTAAGATAGGTAGATACTTACTACACAGGATCTTTCTTAAATGAGCGCAAATACTTTAGGTGGTAGTATTTTTCATGGTATTTTTCCGCCCCATTGAAACGCTTATGATAATATGATGTTTTTTCCTATACAATTATTTCAAAAAAACTTTTTAGAGCTGCAGTTACCTGAAATTTTCAGATTTTTTCGTGACCTTGTACAAGGGCATGCAACGTTGCCACTTCATACAACTTACCTCAAATACGTTTAAATAAAACTTTTATTTTAAACTTTACTTTTATTTGACTTACCAGAGATATAGAGGCAGGGAGAATGAGCATGGACCATGGACGTGCGAAGAGAAAATGGTTGTGTCTCTGGGTTGCGTTCATCATGGCTGCCGCCATGTTCGCGCTTATATATACAAGGGGATATCAGAAAATAATCGCGATTATAAATTTTTGACGGTCATCTTTTTGTCAAAATTAATTTTCCCTACGTCTATATCTTTGCATACTACTTACGTGTTTACTTATTGAAGAAAATCTGTATCTTTATAATAACGTTAATAAAAAAAGTTAAAAAAAATAAAATTTGCAGTTTTTTGCCAAAAACACATATTATTTTTTAGCTGTGGAACAATTTCCATGCCAAAGACGCTGTAGTACCGAAACTTAAGGAAAGCTTAAAAGCATTAGGGTTGGATTATTTGGATTTATATCTGATACATTGGCCTTTTGGTACTAAGGTACTTACTTAACACATACAAAATAAGTTAGAACACCTACCAAGAACATCTATTATAGGAAGATGCACCGTTGATGCCTACCGAAAACTTACAAGACTGTTTCAGCGATGTTGATTACATAGAAACGTGGCAAGGTATGGAAGAAGGGCACAAACTAGGACTGGCAAAATCTATTGGAGTGTCAAATTTTAATGCAGAACAAATAGACAGAGTTTTAAAAAATGGAACTATAAAGCCTGTAGTAAATCAGGTAAGTCTTGAAGATATACAAAGTGTTTATTTAATTTATAATCTGTAGGAAAATCAATAAAAAATGCACGCCGCAGTGTTGCCACCGGCTCCTTTTTTTACTTTGACTTTTAATTTACTTTGACTTTTGAAAAATAGTTCTGACAATCGGCATTTTGCTGTTGTAAAACCAAAGGTTCCAGCGGCATAGCGCAGCGTCAATACAAGGGAATTTAATAAGTAACTGCTGTAATTTTACCAACACAAAGTTTATTTCTTTTGGTAATTATTGGGAAAACTGGAAATCGTCCGATTTTCACTAAAATTGGTATACACACTATTTTGAAGTCGTAGATTACGAATCGATTTTTCTTGGCGGTCTCTTATCGTTTTTCAGAAAAACGGAAAATTATTTCAACATTGAATTTTTCTTTATTTCGGCCCTATAAAGTAATAATTTCACTATATTTTCATTATATTATAGTTTATCTAAAAGCCACACTTGATTGGGGATAGGAAAATGTCCAAAATTTTACTGAAAAACACTTTTCTTAACAAAATAACAAAGAAAATTTAGAGCAGATGGAAGTTTGACATTTGAGATATCCTTCTTTCTCTCTCCTATGTAATGAGAGAGACAAATATATTCTAAGCCCAATCTAGAAATTTGAAAATTTACAAAATGTTGCCATATCTTCTATTTTTTCGGGTGATTAGGGATTTTAAATAAATTATTTTTATACCTATTATGAGATCGCCAATAATTAAATATACCTGCCTATATCCACAAAGTTACGCGGAAGAGTTTTCATTGCATTGGTTACAACTTCCATGCGGAGGGCGTTAATCTTTTGTTGTTATATTATATCAAAAAAAGATTAACCCCCTCCGCAAAGAAGTTATATAAACACTATTTATAACCACGAAGTTGCACGAAAGAGTTTTGATTGCATTGGTTTTAACTGTATGGTTACTGTAAAAAACTGTAAAGTTGTAACCAATGCAATCAAAACTCTTTCGTGCAACTTCGTGGTTATAAATAGTCAGATCTCGTTGGTAAAATAGCAATTATGTTTAGGAGCCGTTCCTCCGGTAACCGCCTTTCGTAATCCCAGAGGGAGCGAAATGAAATGCGCTAAATTTAGGTTTAACATTGGCAACGTTGCTTTAAATGTCAGAAACACATAATCCAACATTTTCAGATTGTTTACAAATTTATTTTAGCAAATTTTCCTCTATTATGCATAGAATTGGTTAAAAAAGTAACAGAAAATAGCAAAAACATCATTGCTTATTGAATACCTAACAAAATTTGTGCTAGAAAACCTTAAAAATTTGAGAAATTAAGAAAAATTCGATGTTGAAATAATTTTTCGTTTTTCTGAAAAACGGTCAGAGACCGCCAGAAAAAAATTCAGTTCAGATTCGTAATCTACGACCTCAAAATAGGGTGTAAACCAATTTTGATGAAAATCGGACGATTTCCAGTTTTCCCAATAATTACCAATATTTTTAAAGCCCCACCTACACCTAACGTTTTACCTGCCAGTTTTGAGTGTCAGTTACAACGGAAAAGGCGACCGCCTTTCGTAATTCCTTCTTCTGGCGACCGCCTTTCGTAATTCCAGAATGAGCAAAAAAAACACGCTAAATTTAGGTTTAGCATTGGCAACGTTGCTTTAAGTGCCAGAAACACATAACCCAACATTTTCAGATTGTTTACAAATTTATTTTAGCCATTTTCCTCTATTATGCATAGAATTGGTTAAAAAAAGTAACAGAAACTATCAATAACATCATTGTTTATTGAATACCTAACAAAATATGTACTAGAAAACCTTGAAAATATGAGAAATTAAGAAAAATTCGATGTTGAAATAATTTTCTGTTTTTCTGAAAAACGGTAAAAGACCGCCAAAAAAAAGTTCAGATTCGTAATCTAGTAATCTACGACCTCAAAATAGGGTGTATACCAATTTTGGTGAAAATCGGACGATTTCCAGTTTTCCCAATAATGACCTTTCTTTTTTTTATTACAGTCTTTAATTTTGAAGTTACAAAAATGAAATGTACACAAAATGTAACAGGTTAAAACAATAATCAAACCCTTTGATCAAACCAATTAAAAAAAAACTAAATATAGGTAAAAAACAAAGCTGGGAAAATATCTGTTATCATATTATTATATATCTGTTAGAATTCTTCTAGTATGCATATTTGTAAAAACTTTTATTATATTTTCTTCAAATGAAGGAGGATTTTTATTTTTCAATGTTCATCAATGCTAAAGTTGACAGCATGTTGACAGTCTCTCTTGTTTTGGTCAGTGTTCCCAACTCTCAAAAATTTATCTCCCTAAAAATCTAAAACGCTCGCATCAAAAATCCCCAAAATATCCCTAAAAACCTAAAAAATGTCCCGAAAAAAAACCCTAAAAATATAAATAATAATAAATAATCAATTTGTTGTGTTTTAAGTGGTTGACCTTGAAACGTCTGATCACAGCAATGTAGCCAACTGTTCGAAACTTTCCATTAAAGCAATACCAAACCTTCTTAAATCAACTAACATCCCCACAACTGTTATCCAAGATTCAGTGATTAAAATAAATAAATTATTTTGTTTTATTTATACTTTCCTATTAATTTTGAAAAATAGCAGTAGCGGTCTTATCTCTTCTTTGGTAGCGGTATTCCATTGAAATTTTATCCCTAAAAATATCCCCAAAAAATTTTACTCCCTAAAAAAATCCCCATATAGATTTTTTCTCCCCAAATTTAGGGATAAAATCCCGGAGTTGGTAACACTGGTTTTGGTGCCGGAATAACCTACCAGTTTAATTAATTCCGCAAACACGCTGTGTTCGCTTTTATAAACATTTTCACTAAAATGACGAATACACGATTTTAAATTGGTATTAATATTCAAAATCTGCTTTGGAGGTCCTCCTTCAATAGTTTTTAATTTTTCTGAATACACCATAGAACTGACGCACAATTGCAAAATTATTTCTATTTTACAGACTGTTTAATAGATAAATAAATTTTAGGTTGAGTGTAATCCTAACTTAAACCAGAAAAAACTCATCGAATTTTGTAAACAGAGAGACATTGCGATTGTAGGATATTGTCCACTTGGTAGAAGCGAATATATGGGTAGGCCAGGATTTCCAGAACCTACTATATTCGATCCCAAAGTAGCAGAAATCGGAAAAAAATATAACAAAAGTCCAGCTCAAGTTGTTTTGAATTATTTGGTAAGTTTATCTTTAATTATTAGTTATAACAAACAGTGTAATTCTAATTTATTGATTTTAAGGTATCCTTGGGTATATCAGTAATTCCTAAATCCGTTACAAAATCAAGAATAGTCGAAAATATCGATATTTTTGACTTTACTCTTAGTAAGGAGGACATAGCTTACTTGGACTCGTGCAACAAAAATAAAAGAGTTTGTCCACTAACGGATTTTAAAGACCATAAATATTACAGTTTTAATGCAGAATTTTAAATAGGTACTTTTCAAAATAGTCAGGATCTAATGTTTTGTTATTTAATTTACATAGATTTATTAAAGTTAAGAAATTAATATTTTTATAAAATAAAGTTAATTCTTAACTGCTGTAATTTATTTTGAAAGTTTTTGCCATTTTATAGCTGTTATAAGGTCTTATTACTACGTTTTGATATCCCCTGTAGACCGGCTATAAGAAAATAATCTCCACTTCCTCTATATCTCTGGATCCAGTCTTATTGCCTTTTTGATCTATGGTTAAATAGTAACCACAGATTAAGTAATGTTGTTTGACGATTCGATTATCAGTAAACTATTCTGTGGTCATCTAACCTCGATTTTTTGAATTCAAATCAGAGATTCAAATGTTTATTTAACAAACATTTAAAATCGAGCTTTTATAAGCATGTCCCAACAGAAATCGAAAAAATCAACACCGTGGTTTCGTTGCGAGAAGTGCGAGGCTTACATTTCACACAGAGACGTGGAAAATCATGACGGTTTCTGTCCTCCGGAGACCCGTTTAGTTCAGCATGCCTACATCTATAAAGGCCGCTTATGTGGTATCGTTGATATTAAACCTACTGAAGATATTAAGAATTTAAGTAGTAGAGAAATAGATAGTTTGGTCTTTCTTAGTCAAGATGCCATGCAGCTTTGTTCATTTTCAATTGGCGAATCTGTTATTGTAGAGTCGTCATGTGAAGAAATTCCTCCTATTGTACAGAAAGTCTGGCCAACGAATGAAAAATCATTAACGTCGATTTTACTAACCAAAAACGGTACTAATTACTTTTCTTAATTTATTTTATATAAGTTATTTACCTAATTCTTTTTTACAGCACTTGAGACCCATGGATTTACATCAAACGATATAGGCTTTCTAACAAAATTACTAAATTCGCCTAAACTTATAAGGGAGGCAGCTGAAATAAGTGTTGTTGTCATAAATGGACCGAAATCTTTAGAAATAAACTCCGAACTAAATAACAGACTCTCTAAGTCTTATGTATCTTATTATTTTACACCTGGTAACTACATAAGCATTATGTATTATGGGAATTTGCTAAAATTTCAAATAAAATATATAAGTGAAAGACTGACCGAAGCAGTAGAGGATATATTTGATAATATATCTATATTAGATGATATAAAGTTCTATCTTGTTGGAAATCAAACTAAATGGAAAATATATAAGTTAGTACAGCTAAATTGGTTCACAGAATGTCTTTGGTTTGCAGAATATCTTAACCAACCTCATCCCATCATTATTGTATTTAACTATATTTTAACTTTACAGAAACCAAGAAGATTATAAAGAAAAAACTAGCACTAAAAAATCCTCTACCCAAGTTTATGGTTTGTCATCTCAATCTAACGAAATTACCGATATGATGAACGTAAGCCTAGGCAAAGGAACTCACACACAAAATTTTAAATGCAAATCAGTACTTCTCTACGGTAATTCAGGCACAGGCAAAACTAGCCTAGCTAGACATCTAGCCAATAGTTCAGGCGCAAATGTGGTAGAAATATGTCCTTCTTATCTGTATAATAACAGTTCAGTTAGTCCCGAAGAAGTAGTTAAAGAGAATTTTGACAGAGCTGTCGAAAATACACCTAGCATTATTATTTTAGATGAAATAGATATATTGTGCCCTACAAGAACTGGTATGTAATATTTTAGAATTTCGAAAAAAAAACGCCGTTTCGGTAACCTATGAAATTTTCGGAATTTCTCTACCTACCCTGACGCCGTTTATTTTTTTTTATTTTCAGTGTAGTCTTATTTTCAGTCTAGTCATATTTTTCTTTAGGTAGATTATCTGAGACGGAAAAAAAGATTGTATCGGCGATTTTGACTTGTTTAGATAATATTTGGACAAATGATAGATTGAAAGTATTTGTCATAGCTACAACTAATAAAATCGATAGTATTGATCCATCTTTAAGAAGGTAAGACTATTGTAGAATTAAAATTGACCTTTTTAAGCTTAAAAATAATAGATTCCTGTCATTTATTTATTTTATTATTAAACAATCGATATTTCATAAACAAGTATATTTTTAGAAACATTACTAACGCGACAATAAAGTATTTTACTCGGAAACTTGATAAAATTTAATATCCCAAGTAAAGGATGTACTGTTATTTTCGTAACTGTTATTTTTTGAAAGCAAGAACTGTTATAAGCTTGGCAATCTCGATATCGTATTGCGAGCGGTTGTTAAAGGAGGACTGTTATTTCATACCTGTTATTTTTTTGGGAGCAACAGATATTGCGAACTGTTATTTATGAATAACAGTTTCAAAATCATATTGTTATATAACAACACGACGCTGATGTAAACGTGTACCTCGGCAGTAATTTTATAACTGTTATTCTTTAGAAAGAAGCACAGCATCAAAGGGCGGGCTGATATTTTCCTGATTCCTGTTATATTTTGGAAGTAACAGAATTTGAATAACAGTTTCAACATAGCATATCGTTAAATATCAAAGTGTCACTGTTGCAGCTGTTTTTTATATTTTATTTTTTAAAAGAGCTGTTGCGAGGTTGGTAAAAATTTGTGTTGCTGCGATACTGATATCACATCGCAATCGATCGCTGTTGGTGCACTGTTATTTTTATACCTGTTATTTTTTTAAGTAAGTAATACTTGCAAAATAACGTATCGTCAGTTGCCTTACATTGTGACTGGTATCTGTCGGTGGGCTGTTATTGTCATAGATGTTATTTTTTGGAAGCAGAAACTGTTATTTATGAATAACAGTTTCAAAAAAATAACGTTATATAAAAGAGCGTCGCTGTTCTGAGGAAAATATCTTGTCTTCGCTGTTGCAGATGTATATCGCAGCTGTTATTTTGTAACTTAATTTTTGAAAGAACTGTTGCCAGGTTCGTAAAGTTTTGTGGCGCGGCGATACCGATATTACATCAGTCCCAATTAACATACAGTTAGAAGCCTTACACCGTGACTGGTCACTATGGATAGACTGTTATTTTCAAACTTGTTATTTTTTGAAGCAGCAATTGTTGCAAACTGTTATTTATAAATAACAGTTGTAAACCCGTATCTGTTGTAGATGTGGAAGGCTGGACAGAGAGATCGAAATTCCAACTCCAGATCCTAACCAACGAAAACTCATTCTTACCTATCTATTATCAACTTCTAAATCTAATCTAAAAACGTCTCATTTTGAGGAAATAGCTAGGATAACTCATGGCTTTGTTGGAGCTGATTTGGTCTCTCTTTGCTCACAAGCAAGTCTATTATGTAACAGAAGAATTTCGGACAGCCTAGAGTTTGAGGATTTTAAGATGGCCTTAAGGACAGTTAGGCCTAGTGCCATGAGGGAAATCGAAATAGAAGTAAGAATAAACTGGTGAATCGTTAATAAGTTTCAATCTCACTAACGGTTGACGAATTTTCAGATACCAAACGTAAAATGGTGTGATATAGGAGGTCAGGATAACCTCAAATTGATTCTAAAACAGGCCGTCGAGTGGCCTTTGAAGTATGCCAGTAGTTTTGTGAGGTTGGGAGTTTCACCACCAAGAGGTGTATTGATGTACGGGCCGCCAGGGTGTTCCAAAACTATGATCGCCAAGGCGTTAGCTACAGAAAGTGGGCTCAATTTTCTTAGCATTAAAGGTATATACAGCTAAATTTTAGGTAGTACAAATTCAAATATACAATAATTTGCATAATATGGAGACATAAAATATGGTGTGTGTTTACTTTTGCTAGGTCCGGAGTTGTTTAGTAAGTGGGTTGGCGATTCTGAGAAAGCTGTCAGGGAAGTCTTTCGCAAAGCCAGACAAGTGGCGCCATCTATAGTATTTTTTGACGAAATTGACGCGTTGGGTGGTGAACGGAGTTCAGGTAAGCTTAGTTGAAGTTTAATTACACAAATTTAGTCTCTGTTACAAATTTAAAATGTTATATAAAGTTTGAGGAGAGAATACATCACAGTGACAGTTTTGTCTGTCATTTTCTGGATGTCGTCTGTCGAAATCTATGACTTATTGGACAAACTAACGAATCAATAGACAGTTAACGCATTGCACAGAATTTATACATACAGTTCATACCAAATAAACTTTTAGTCATGTGATTAAGCTTGACCGGCACAGCGTTGCCCTGTTTTACATATTTTCTTTTAATCAAAATATTTTAGGAAACAAAAATAAATTAATTATAAATATATAAACAGTTATTATTTACATCAACAAACAACAAAACTCACCTTCTTAACAGCAATTAAAGGACATAACAGGCTATTACTACCGCTTTCCCGTTCAAAATATTCTAATAAAGTTGCGATGAGTTTTTTTACGGCTATTCTTGTACACTTCGCACTAAAAGAGGTTCTAAAAAGAACAATGTTCGACTGCAAGGTCTGCTAGTAAACATTTTCAAGCTTAAAGTACAGTTTAAAGAATATATACATATACAGTTGGCTCACTCTAAGGAATTCTATTGTTATTTTGACTTCAAAGGCGGCCCGTGACCCTTCGAGGTGACAAAAAATTTGTACGTTTACCGGGTGCAGCGGAAGTGCTATTTTATCAGTCAGAACGCTGGCCGTATACGAGGGATCAATTAAAAATACTAAGGAATTTTAATATAGCAAGTAGAAAAATAAAAATACAGTACTAGTTTTATTGATTTGTTTATTGAACTGTTTATTGTACTAGTTTTATTGAATTGAACAGTTTTAGGCCTCTTTAATAATTGATCAGTATTTATTTACTTTCTCTGGTGTATAATTTTCATATCTGTGTACAATACAAGTTATTTTCCTTATCAGACTCTACTTATACATATTATGGTGAATACATGAATATACACCTTTTGGTACCTAAATAAACGGGAATATCGATAACGGCCACATAGAAACAGGCATTTAAAAATGGGAAAAACGATATAAAAGTCCATATGCGTAATTTGAATTAAAAAAACGCTTTCCTGAACATTTATCATTTCTGGATACTCATCGTTTCTCCCATGTGCTCGTCAATTGTTATATTTACTGCTACATAAAATTTAGTAAAAACTCTAAAAAACTTGTCAATAGCAGAACAAGTTGTATGCACGTATTTTTATTACCTGACGATAAAATTTGGACTTTCCAGGTAGGTAGTTAAAGTTAAATACATACATCTAAAAAGCAAAACATGCTATTTAAAAAAATGCAAATATCTTAAAAAATAATTTAATATGCACTTTGCCAACCGGTAAATATTGGAAAATCCAAAACATAATAGTAAAGTATCTACTACTACTCTAAAATATCTACTAAAATAATAAACTAATTGTTAAAAATAAATATTTTGTGCATATTTCGAGTAAAAGATTTTCTTAATTTATATGTGTATTTTTAAAACAATTTATTCATAGTTGGGTTTCCATAATTATAATATACTTAATATGTCTAATACTTTAATTATTATATACTTAATATCCTATACTATATAAACATATACCTTCCTTCATCTTTTGGGCACCTAAAGAACGATATATTGTCTGTCATTCTACTTTCACAACCATCCACTGCACAAATATTTCTAGTAGACATTTTATTCACAATTCGAACACAACAACTAAAACACTATTTTTTGGGTTCACCCTATGCGTCGGACCGAAAAGAAAACTAAAATAAACTTGGAACTCTGTGTACGCGTCGAGCAACGGATGTAGACTGACCCAAGTCTACAAGACAGGCGGGGTGCGGCGGGGGGAATTTTGATACGGGCGAAGAGTGGGCCAACTGATATATTGTCGCGACCTAGCTGGGGGTTGTTTGCTAGGGTCGCTATACCAGGTTCTCTCTCTCAATCAAAACAACCATTGAACAAAATACACATTTATTTAACATAAAGTTCACAGTATAATACAATTTTGGGGAATGCCAAGACTTAATGGTTTAGTTAACTAAGTACTTACAGGAACATCTTCAGTCTGCGCTGTCTTCTGCTAACGGACTGATGACGCGAATTACTAACTGTATAATACGACTCACATCGATGGACTAACCTACTACCTCCTCCTGTCTTCAGCACACTATTTTATATTTTTCCGCTCGTCCCAATTATCGGCGGGTACGTGCTCAAAAATCTCCTTTGTATATTTCCAGCACCGATATTTAGTACGAGCTAGCCCTGAAACACCACGCTTACATCGACCTGATTTTAATTGTTTAATTAACAATGTTTATCATAAGAACATATTCAGGTCAACGTATACGCGAACGATTCCCTTGAATCTACATCAAATTGGTTTACTAGAATTATATTTTACATGATTTTTCCCAATTTGATGTAAACCCAAGTTGGCTATATTTAAGTCTTGACATATCCCCTGGCTTGAGAGCTGGTCCCCAGCGATAAAAAATCATGTGCTATTAAGCTTAATTAAGATTTTCTTGCGACTCATCAAAATCAAAAAAAAAATATATATTTTTATCATTTACTCTTTAATCCCGTACAAACAAAAGGTCCTACGCGATACCACCCGTACTGAAAATATGTCTCCTGGCATCCTGGTGCGTTGCGTCCGTTTCAACAATACCATAAGCTTCAAGCTTTAACCCTAACTCATATCAGTTAAGTAATGCACACGCCAGCACTGCCTTTGCCTTTGTTTGACTGGTTGCCTTCTTATTCATTGTATACTTCTGTTCGTCCGTGCGCTTGGTTTCAATGTCAAACGGGCGACGGCCTTTGAAATTGCTGGGATCAGCGGAATACTGGACAATTATTTTTCTTTACTTCATTAGTGTACTGTTTTTCATTCGAGCCAAACAAAATTTACTTGTTAATATTTCTTGGTTTTCTGGCTTCTCTGCGGTATTATGGGTTCAGTGGCTTGTTACTTCAACCAACCAAATTAGTTTTTCTCCAGGCTGGTTATTGCTTCCATATCCGTATCCAAAAATTCCATACATCTCCAATCCATTAGAATTCGAGGCAAAAAGACGAGCGGCGTGTTTAACATTTGCTCAACTGAACAGAGCTTGTGATGCTGGAAAGTTTCATCTCACTGGTGTGGTTGGTACGTGTTTCCAGACAGCAACTCATTTCTTCCTTCGACTTCTTAGTGTTTATTGTGGTATCGGCAGGTGTGATACAAAATTCATGAGAAATTAAAGAGTAAGTACTATATTTTATTCCTATCTTTAATATCTATTTGGCTTTTCTTTATTCCGTCTACTACATTACATGTCCTTTATCTCCTAAGTGGTGAAAGATTGTTTGGGAAAAGTCGCGTGGCTTCTAATAACATGTTTTGTCAATATCGAAACATATACAATAAACAGTCTACAAAACAGAACAACATACATACATATTGACAAAACTATCGCCAGTTTATTTTTCTTTTTTATTACTAACATAAATTATAAATAATATTTGTTTCTGACTCGGGAAAAAAAAAATAATCAAATTCAACTAGTACCTCTAAAACAATCACGGCTTCCTAAAAAATAATGGGCATCCTAGGCCAAAATAGTCACGTGACGTTGATACTAGGAATAAAAATAGCAACAAATCAACTAACAAAATATCATCCGAGCAGTTCTTTAAGACCAACATAGCTACACAATCTTTCCCCAGGAGATGTAAATGTAGTAGGTTTGAGTATACTTTACCTCAGCTTACCTTGAAAGTATTTCTTCCCTTCCTTTTTTTTATCCTTATTTTTGCTCAATGTTAGAAAACAAATAATATGTCACCTAAAAATACTCAAAAATAGATTAGTTTCTATCAGTCTCTTGTTTTTTTTTAATAATATACTATGAACGTAAAAATATTCTTAAATGCTACATTAATTAATCAGTATCCTTTATCGTGGTCCATCGTACTTGGCTTAAAGATTCAAACTTCGACTTTAAATATGACTCATAAGCATCGAGTCCAGGGAGGGTGGCTAGGGTGGATAATGATATCCTTCGCCATCTTGGCAATATTTATATTCTTTAAACTGTGCTTAAAGTATCGCAACACTATTTATTTAAACCAAAAACTCGTAATAAAAAACTAAAGTGTCAAAAAGAATGACGGTGTCGTGGGAATAAATAAATAAATGCGGCAACTTGACATTTTTTACAGCAGAGTTACCATCTGAATCCCCAACGCAAAATTTAAATTCCATTTAGTCAGCACGGCGTCGAATATATCCATGGTTGGCGACAATTAATTTTAAAATCGCGCCCTGGATGACGTAACTAAAAGTTTACTTGGTATGAACCGTATCTCTCGATATGTAATGCTTTAACTGTCTAATAACTGTTGTTTAGGTTTACCCTAACGGTCTATTATATATCTATCGGTCGCTACCATGTGAACTAATATGTTCAAGGTCACATAAAACTTAATTCCAGTGCCGTGGTATTTCAAGTCATATAATAATCAATATATAATCTGTTGTAATTTGTTGTTTTAACTGTCAAAGTCTTGACAAAACGTATATTTGGTTATAAATATAAACTGGAATGCCCCATTGTTCGCACTGCAAGCACACCAATGGACTGACGCACAAAAACGAATCAATCAAAGAAACGCGATATAGTATCGTCTTTGTCAATCACGCTAACATTTTAGAATAAGTAGGAGGAGCGCAAAAACCTACGTCTGCGGTAAAAATTTACGTTTTTAATGTAAAAATGATGGCGCGCTTATCGATTCTAACTTCATCACGCGATGAATCACTCCCAAACATTCGTGGCGTTTACTATAACAGGTTTTCGTCTCACTATAATATTGTGATGTCGCATTTAACCACCAACGAATGTTATTTGGACGCTTGTATTTTAACTTATTTTTCTGAAAAGTTTCTATATAATTTTACTGTTTCGTCTGTTAAATCATTTACAGGCTCATCAACCAGTGTACAAGACCGGGTTCTAGCCCAACTTCTCACTGAGTTAGACGGTGTCACTCCATTAGGCAACGTTACTATCCTAGCAGCCACTAACAGGCCGGATAGGATAGATAAAGCACTTTTAAGACCAGGAAGGCTAGACAGAATCGTCTATGTGCCGTTGCCAGACAACCAAACAAGGAGGGAAATATTTAGAATCAAATTATCTAAAATGCCAGTAAGTATGGTTCCAAATCAAAAAAATCAATTTTTTTCACTTTAAAGAAAAAATAATGGTATTTTACAGACAAAAGATGTTAATATTGAATATTTAGTTACAAAAACAGAGAACTACTCAGGCGCTGAAGTCAATGCTGTCTGTCATGAAGCCGCCATGATGGCTTTAGAAGAAAATATCGAGATTGAATACGTAGATAATAAACATTTTGATAAAGCTTTAACGCTGATTCAACCGAGAACGCCAGAAAGTTTAATCAAACTATACGAAGAATATGCTAAAATTAAAATTTAAGATCAAATTTACTGAAATAGGTTTGTTTTTTTAAGATTTTTTCTAGTTTGATCAATCTTTCTTATAAAAAGTTGATTATTTATAAAGGTTGTTAATGTTCGATTACGTTAAGGAAAAAGTAAATAAAATAAGAGTTTGTATTTGTTATAAAAAAGTTTTTTATTTTAACAAAAATTGTCGTTGGGTATAATATCTTTAAATATTTCTACAAATTTATCATACGGACAAAATTCTGTACAGCCTGGTATGGTCATTAATTTTGGATCTCTGTTTTCCCAGTCCTGGTAGTATATCTGTTCAAAAAAAGCAAATAAAAATAATCAAAATCATATTAGTTATACAGGGTGTTCCTTAAATAAGGGTAAATATTTTCAGGCGTCGCTTCATGTTCACAAAATTTCACATTTTGATAACTTCCGGTTTTATATTTTTTTTTTACTATTTTTAAATTAAATCGACTACCTATGTTGCCAAAGTAACTCGAAAGTATATAATTTAACTTAAAAAGAACTTGTAAAATTTTGCACCTTGTCTATACAAGGGGTAACACAAAAATTCGTTGCAATTTTTAGTGGGCGCGTTCCAATAACTACTTAAAACAAAATTACTGTTATTACTGTTAAAATAGTAGTTTTTTTCGACCAAATTTTTTGATTAAAAGAACTTGAAAATCCCAAAAATATAAATCAAATAATGATAAGTTACCTTAAATCCATAAACATTGTCTATCAAATGCACCTCAAACAAAATGTGACAGCCATATGGAGGTACCTTATCGTTGAACACACCCAACGCTATCAGCACATAGGCCAAATTCCTTTCATGTGCTGAATAAACGAACATTTTTCTCGATTGTGGTTTCAAAAGTCCATCAATTTTAGCTTTGGAGTCATTGATGATCTTCTTCAGCAAGTATCCTGTAGTTTTCAATTCAAAAAGAATTTAAATTTTAATTTTTTGGCAAATATGAGACACATACCTGCACCTAATTTTCTTAGATCGGTTGTGTTGCTTTCTATGTAGTATTGAGTAACAGCTATTCGTTCCAAAACGTCTGGAAAAACTGGATCTGTCCAGTTTTCGAGAGCATATCCATAGTTTTTCTAAAAAATATATTTATTTTATTTAATCTGCCCCATTTTTTTCCAAGAAAAGTTAGAAATTCGTTATTTTTTGCAAAACTTTGAAACTAGGAGTGTACAATACTTTTAATAATATCGATATTATATCGATAAAATTAAAAAAAAACTTGATATGTCGATATTTTTCGATACAGTTACATATACCCGGTGCATCTCAAAAGTGGCTCACCCCTATAACTTTTTTATTTTTTCAGATAAAAAAAAACGAGATTTGGTACGTTAGTATATGACATAAATTGGGATTGATTGACATATTCAATTGTATTCGGTCACTTCCTGTTTCACCGGAAATGACTACAACGTTTGATTTTTAAATAGCACCCTCGGTATTTTTTTACTTTATTTGATTGAAAATGACACTCTGAATCGAATGACATATCATATGTCAACTTTTGACATATTCACTCAAAAACAAACTGTTTTTTAAATTTCAATCTAGAGTGCCACGACTGTGTTAAAAACACTAATTTTTAATCAAGGAGCCTTGGAAAAACAGATTTGATCATCTAATGTTTTTAGTGTCTTCTCCTGGCCGGTTAAAAGATGCCCAAATCGTTTTTTTAATCATATCTCAATTTTTTCAAATGGAACGAGGATGGCTCATTAGCATATTTTGAAAGGCATTTTTTTACGAATAATTTGATACCACACACTTGGTTTTTCGACTCAAATTGTCGTTATGAACCGCATGTTACAATTTCAAATAAACCATATTCGAAAATGTCAAAAGTTGACATATGATATGTCATTCTATTCAGAGTGTCATTTTCCTGTAGTTTCGAATAAAGTAAAAAATACCGAGAGTGCCATTTAAAAATCAAAAGTTGTTGTCACTTCCGGTGAAACCGGAAGTGACCAAAAACAATTGAATATGTCAATCAATCCCAATTTATGTCATATACTAACATACCAAATCTCGTTGTTTTATCTGAAAAAATAAAAAAGTTATAGGGGTTAGCCACTTTTGAGACGCACCCGGTATACAGGGTCCAGAACACCCAGTATAGACACATTGATACGAAATGTATCGCACTAATTATATCGATATGAAATATTACAAAGTATCGAAATAAACGTATTCTGCACATCCCTACTACTGAATTAATGTAGAAATAAAATATAAATTTCAACTAAACAAATTACCTGGGCAAATAACTCCATGTACAACGAAAATATATCTTCGGGAGTACTAAATTCCTGACCGGTAGCGTTAGACACGTATTCAAATACTGGATTAAATTCAGCTAAAGCGTTTTGAGTCTCTGTAGAATTGAATACCGATTGGTACAGAGAATTGTAAATTTTACAAGTTTTGGTACCGTCCAATTCCTGCAAAAATAACGTAAGTAAATGAAATTATACAGGCTATAATGCAAGTGTATGTCGGGAGTATATACACTTGCGTGCATAGAAATCGGCTCAAGGCAAACTTTTGAAGTTAACTATATATTTTTTAGAATCTATTTGTCAGATTAAGAAAAAATGTATAGCTGAATTGAAAGAAGCTAATGAATAGCTGTTTGAAAGACAATTTCATATTCTTCGAAAAGAGTTTAAAGATATTAATTTGTATTTTCGTTTCTTTGGATTAAAATTATTAAATTAATGCACGAAACAAATTATCGTTTTTTATTACTAAGAGGTATGTTATTATTTATTTATTTATTTATGGACAATTAATTAAACTAAATTTTCAATAATGGGTATGACTCCCTCTTGCTCTAACAACATTTCTAATACGATTTGGCATAGATTCGATCAAATTTGATATTGTTTCTTGTGGAATGTTAAGCCACTCTTCCTGTACTGCAACAATGAGCTCTGGGATAGAAGTTGGGGCTCTTCGTCTAGTATGAATTCTTCGTTTTAGCTCATCCCATAAATGTTCTATCGGGTTTACGTCTGGCCTGCATGCTGGCCATTCCATAACCCGAAATCCGACTTCTGAAATGTTTGTATCGGTTGTTCTCGTTGTATCGGTCCTAACATTAGCCTTAGTCCTAACAGGTTGGGATATTTTATATTCTTAGGGCTAATGCTAATTCAAAACTGAATCGCGCATGCTCAAAGCTAGGGGTTTTAAGAATTCTCGAAATAATATCTGACATGTTGAATTTGACGGTTTATAAATGTTAATAAATCATATATTTTTTGGTCTAGACAGTATTAACGTAAAAATTCGTTTCTCTTGTATTAGAAATAATAAAAATAATTGTAAATTTAGGTTAGTTCAAAACATATGTTTTATATGAGCGCAAGCGCTTACGAGAATATTGATTATTTTCTTAAGACAAGTAGGAGAAGTATGAACGGCCTTTCCGTAAGTTCTCAAGGTTAATTTCTTAGGGTTAATGTTAAGGTTAAGGTTAGGGCTAATACTCGAAGTATGAACCCACCTTAAGTCCATTTTCGATTAAAGCGATTACTTGGGCGGCTTTTTCCGGTGATGTATGCATTAAATTGAAACAGTAATCAAACAATGAAACACAACTAATCAAAGAATAAAAGAACAATGTGAAAATTTCGATTACAAAGGTAGTAATTGCAATATTTGACAAATTTATTATTCTTATTGTCACCACAACCCAAATACCTTTTTTTACCTTTTTTTGTTTACCCATTGGTACGCATATAAACGATCAGTACCCTGGATAAATTTATGCTCATATTAAAGCATAAATTGTCTTTGAAACAGCTCATATTTTTTACTTGCTCTGATAAATAGATTCTAAAAGACACAGTTAAAACCAAAAGTTCACAGTTTATAATCATCTGCTGATGATGCTAACATGGTTAGCGAAACGCGCGTCCAGTGTAAAAGTAAAAGTGTTTTGGTGTATTGTGGTGATTTAGTGTTTTTATTTTGCTGTGTAACACCAAAGGTTCCAACCCTCAACTGTAATCAAAAGTTCACACTGTATGTAATAAAAAAAGTATACCTTGTCAGAGCGAATATAATTATATGGTATAGGTTGCCATTTTAAACAAGGGTAAAACTTCTCTTCCATGGTGGGTGGCCACAGTGCTGCCAACATCAACTCTAGGGACATTTTCGTCCTGTTGGAATCCGTAGTTCTGGCGTCAATGTAGTTCATCGTGAAAACGTCTCCCAAGAAATCGTCGTACCTTTTACGCAATGTTGTTCCAATTTTATAAGCTATTTTCTTGCCTTCCTGAAAGGAATTTCATATTATATTTCTGGAATAGGTACCTCCATTTCTATAAGAACAATATATGTACTTCAATTTCTGGACAAGACAGAGAATATACTTATATTCTTCTAGAAATTGAGGTATTTCATATTTCATGTATACATTCATTCAAGTTCTACTGTTTGAGAAAAAAACGGTGTCCAATTGGCTTGGAAATGACGATCGTTGAGATTCCCCATATAATTTTACATATAAAAAGACAGCGACCTTTATTTCATAGCCATCGCCGACGCCGCGCCGTTTTTTTTCGATCATATTGTACAGGTAGAATAAAGTCCATTATCTCATTTGTTTCGAGGTTTACAAAAAAAATAAATATAAAGGTAGTAGGGAAGGTTAAGATACACATTTTAAAATTATTATAAAGTATACAAAGTGCTTCAAAAAAGTGTGGAGGATATAACATATGTTTTTTTTAAATGCAACACCATATTTTTTATTTTATTTTTAGATTCTGCGTAAAATTCCATAACTTTTTTATATATAATGTTATATACCTAAAATTAATAGTTTTTGTAATATTTTAATTTGTTTAAACAAATGTTAAATTGCAGTGTGGTAAAAAATTGTCAGTGGTGCCATTATTTCTGAAGTTGGAGTACCAAAAGTTGGTAAGAGAGTTTTATAGAGATGAACAAAAAGATATATATATAAAGATATTTTAGTTAAATGATACAGGGTGTTCAAAATATATTTATGAATTTCAACGTACTTAAAATTAAAAAATCTCAAATTTTTTAAATGGGACACCCTATATATTATCATTTTTTCTAAAAGATTTTACAAAACTCTTCAACTTTTATTAAGTATGTCATATACCTATTTTTAATAGTTTGCGATTTATTTCAATTTTTTCTATTTTTACCCATATTTTAAATACAATTACCCTTACAGTTGAGGGTTGGAACCTTTGGTGTTACACAGCAAAATAAAAACACTAAATCACCACAATACACCAAAACACTTTTACTTATACACTGGACGCGCGTTTCGCTAACCATGTTAGCTTCATCAGCAGATGATTATAAACTAAAGTACAATCTACAAGTTGAGCGTTTATATACTCGCTCAGTGGGCACCGAGTAGGCGTGGCAAAATCTAGCCAACCGAGTCAGAGCCAACTGAGCGTAACAGTTAGATTTCCGCCACTAGAGTAGTAGGAACAAAGAACTTGAAGGAATTGGACCGTTGACTCTGTTCATACTATCTTTACATTTATTAATTCTGATGCTTTCATATGCATCTAATTGCCTGTAATTTGAGACTTGTTTAATTAATTTTAAATTATTAAGATCTATACAATGTTCATTATCAACAATATGTTCGGCAACGCAAGATTTATCCGGTCTACCATATCTTATCTGAGCTAAATGTTCTTTAAATCTAGTTGATCTTCTAGTTTGCCCAACATATTTCTGATTACAATCTTTACAAGAAATTTCATAAATACCCGACCTTTCCAGTGGAGGTGTTTTATCTTTTGGATTATCTAATAATTGTTGTAATTTATTATTAGCACTATACACAAGTTTATAATTGACATTCTTAAAAATTCCTTTTAGACCACGGGCTAACTCTCTATCAAACGGTATCGAAAAATATTTAGACGTATCTTTCTCCACTTGAAAAGTCGAATTTTCCGAATAAATTACAACAATTATTAGGTAATCCAAAAGATAAAACACCTCCACTGGAAAGGTCGGGTATTTATGAAATTTCTTGTAAAGATTGTAATCAGAAATATGTTGGGCAAACTAGAAGATCAACTAGATTTAAAGAACATTTAGCTCAGATAAGATATGGTAGACCGGATAAATCTTGCGTTGCCGAACATATTGTTGATAATGAACATTGTATAGATCTTAATAATTTAAAATTAATTAAACAAGTCTCAAATTACAGGCAATTAGATGCATATGAAAGCATCAGAATTAATAAATGTAAAGATAGTATGAACAGAGTCAACGGTCCAATTCCTTCAAGTTCTTTGTTCCTACTACTCTAGTGGCGGAAATCTAACTGTTACGCTCAGTTGGCTCTGACTCGGTTGGCTAGATTTTGCCACGCCTACTCGGTGCCCACTGAGCGAGTATATAAACGCTCAACTTGTAGATTGTACTTTAGTTTATAATCATCTGCTGATGATGCTAACATGGTTAGCGAAACGCGCGTCCAGTGTATAAGTAAAAGTGTTTTGGTGTATTGTGGTGATTTAGTGTTTTTATTTTACAATTACCCTATAAAATCATAGTTGCCATGACAAAGCAAACTATTTATTACTTATCTTTCACAAGTAGCTTAATAATTAGTTACAACTGCTGGTATTAGTTAAAATTAATTAACTTTACTCAAATAAACTAAAATCGCAGCCGTGAATTTCTTGGTGTATTTTTATATTATGAAAGAGGACACTTGGATTTTCCGTCGCGCGTCGGGGCGAATAGCCACAGATTAAGGGTAATACTAGATTACCTAATTGTTGAAGACTACTGATGATATAGGAATTTTCTTCGACATACAGTAAAGTTTTTTTTCTCGTAGTAATTCTGGTTTATATAATATTACTACTGCCGCGAAACCGTCCCATTACACACTGAAGTTGTTTTCTAGGTAATCTACATCTATTCTTATACTACTTAGTAAAGTACTATATAATATATAGTACTGAACCAAAAAATATATTTTTTTTGGCTTGTTCGCCTATATCAGTCATATTAACTAATTAATTTCAGGAAAATCTGTAACTATTATCTCTACAATTTATACTTATTACAACAAATTAAACTAAAATTCAAGTTTTGTTCTTAACTTGCTTAACAGAGAAGACATTTTGATAATTATTACTTTTTGTCATGGCAACTATGATGTTATAGGGTAACTGTATTAAAAATATGAGCAAAATAGAAAAAAATGGAATAAAGCACAAACTATTAATAATAGGTATATGACATACTTAATAAAAGTTGAAGAGTTTTGTAAAATCTATCAGAAAAAATGATAATATATAGGGTGTACCATTAAAAAAATTTGAAATTTCTTAATTTTAAGTAGTTGAAATTCATAAATATATTTTGAACACCCTGTAGCATCTAACTAAAATATCTTTACATAGGTCTTTTTCTGTATCTCTATAAAATTTTTCTACCAAATTTTAGTTCTCGAACTTCAGAAACAATACCTTCACTGACAATTTTTTATCACACTCCAATCTAACATTTGTTTAAACAAATTTAAATATTATAAAAACTATTAATTTTAGGTATGTAACATTATATATAAAAAAGTTATGGAATTTTACGCAGAATCTAAAAATAAAATAAAAAATATGGTATTTCATTTAAAAAAAACATATGTTATATTCGCCACACTTTTTCGAAGCACCCTGTATGCTCTATGATAATTTTAAAATGTGTATCTTAACCGTCCCTATAACTTTTATATTTAATATTTTTTTGTAAACCTCCAAACAAATGAGATAATGGACTTTACTCTATCGTTGACTCACCCTGTACAATAAAGACTGACATTTACTTTTCAAATTATTACTCACTGTAGATACTTGGCCATATCCATGAGGCCAAAAGAAACTCTCGTTGGATATTGGATTGTTCTTGTATCCTACGTTATTGGGTGTCCGGTCTCCATGCCTGTGTAACTTTAGAAAACATGAAAACATTATTTTTTTTAAGAAAAAAGTTATTTGGAATTTTAATTGATTTTATTGTCCAATTCAAAGTAACAGTTCCGTTATTTCTTACCAAGTATTTACCTAATTTTTGAAAAAAGTCAACAAATAACAACACCTACTTAAAATCCACTATACAGGGTGTTTGAAAAAACATGTGCCAACTCTAGTGATGAAATTCTTCATGTAAAAATAAGGTGGTATTTTTTATATCAACATAGGGTCCGATTCGGCTTTGTTTCTTAGCTACAGGAAGGTTAAAGTCATTTTTTGTGTTTCTTTTTTGAAAAAAGAAACACTTTAACTCCCTGTAGCTACGAAACAAAGCAGAATCGGACATATGTTGATATAAAAAAAAAATCTTATTTTTGCGTGAGGAATCTTCCCACGAGAGATAGTACATATTTTTTGAAACACCCTGTTTATTATTTTTGTGTATCAAATTTACAAAATCTACTTACAACATGAACCAAAATTAACGTATCATTTTCAGTTGTGGCACCAAAAACCAAATGAATGGATGCAAAGATTGCAACCCAGCGTAAAACAATCTTCAAATACATTGTTTTCAGTTTTAGCAAGTTTTTCAGTAAATCAACGATGTTTTATATATAATCTCGTTGTTCTATTATACCGAATTGTTTAAATATTTGCAATTTTTCCGCCTTTATAGCTTAATTTACATATCTGTAGGTCAATTAATGTTTTTATTATTTAATAGGACCAGTTTATGGACATCCTATAAATGCCGAAAAGAATGTTTACCCACGTTTTTCACTCGTGAGTATACTTTTTAATCACACCGCCAAATGTAAAAAAAGAAATTTACAATAATATCTAAAAAGTTACTCCGTAATCTAAATTAGTCAAATAAGCTATTAGAAAAACTATCAAGAAACCATCTCGAGTCATAAATAGATTACATTCTCTGTCTAATTTTTGGATGTAGATGTGTTTAAAAAAAACAGAACGAAAAAATGTTTGGACAAATTTAAAATAAACTCTAGTATTTGGCATATTATACAGGGTTAATCGAGGGGTTGTTTTTTTACCCTAACTATAAAACACCCTGTGCAATAATTTCGTGTGTAAATTTTCCTAAAATATAATTTTACGGTCAGAACCAGCAGTCTCCTGAGCATTTTGTTTTTTTGGTTCATGTCAATACATGCCTTGGTTAATTATTTTTAAGAGAGAAATAATGAGCTTGCCACCAACAAATTGCAATTTTTTCAATTATCATTTCTTTTTTGAAGTTGTTTATCATTGTGACAAGGCGGCTTTGGTGATTATTGTGAACTATATACTACAATTAACTGCCCAAGTCGTTCGACGCTTGGCAAATGGGCAGGAGGCATGATACAAGGAATGGGCAGGAGGGTTAGGGGTCGCGAAGCAGTACCAGCTTCATTAAAATGAACTTCGCTTGGTCCTTATAAAGAAGAATGGGAAAACATAACGCAATATGATATACGCAGCCTCAACGACAGTATTGTTACGGATTCCGTGGGTCCACTAATTTAAACTCACGATAAAATACTTAACGAATTTATTTTTCTTCTAAATTTACTATTTAGACACAATTTATACTAGTTAAACACACAACTAACTATTTATGAAATTCCTTCGCCAAATTATCCGATTCGCAATTTAGAACGCGGTATATTCAAACTTCAAACTGGTCCAACTGCCAAGCGCGGGCCTTTATACCCTACTGACTGTTTCTCGAACCTATAATTTTCGATACTTTTCTGCCATCTACCAATAAATTCTATTGTCTGATTCGCTTACTTGTCGACTTGATTAAGAGATGGCGCCTAAAAATGTTTTTAACTTTCTGGCGAATTCGCCAGGTTTCGAATTTCGAATTCACACGTTGCGACAATGTAGGCAACCAGCAATACAGTTTATGGCCACATACACCTTGACATTGCCCCCTTCTCAAATTTGATCGTCTCGATCAAAGTTTCCTGTCCGGTATCTCTTCAATCGATCCAGATGTTTTCATCTTACTTCTAGGGCTGCGTTGAATCCGGTACACAACATCATTTATCCTCTTAACGACTGTATAAGGACCTTTCCATGCTGGAGTTAACTTTGGGGACCCTCCTTTCTTGCGCTGCAGGAAATCCCGTAGAATTAGCTCTGAGGTCGTAACGAGCTTTCATCCAGTCACTGGCTGGCCCAATCTTCCTTCTAACGGTCTTATGAATTTCCAATAACCTTTCCTCCAGTTCGTCCGCGTAGTCTACTACGTTCGTGGTGCTGTCGTCTGGTGATCCGAACACCAAGTCACAAGGCAACCGTAATTCTCGACCAAGCAAAATCTTCGATGGTGAAAGTCTGGTGGTGTTGTGAACTGCACTTCTATATGCCATTATAAATAGCGGTATGTGCTGATCCCAATCTCTTTGATGTTCGTCCACCATTTTCGAGAGGTGTCCTTCAATGGTGTTATTGAATCTTTCGACCATCCCATCAGACTGCGGATGTAAAGCCGTTGTCCTAGTCTTGTGAATGCCACAGTAGATCACACATCTGCTGGAACAGTCTTGACTCGAAGTTCCTTCCTTGGTCAGTGTGAAGCTCTAAGGGAATTCCAAATCTACTGAAGACATTATTGATGCTACAGAAGACATTATTGATGCTTCAGCTACAGTCGATATTTCTTGGTTTGGAATGACAAAAACTTCCGGCCATTTACTGAAATAATCCATCGCGACCAAAACGTACTTGTTACCCACGTACAAAGTCCCACGTTATATTGTTTCATTTTTCCCCTAGATCGAGTGCTTGGTCCTTGGCTGGCTGCACAAATTTTACATTGTCGACACCATTTCTTGACATCTTCTCAATAAGCCACCCAGTAAAAACCCTCTCAGCTTACTCAAGGTCTTGTTTACTCCAAGTTGGGCTCCAGTTTTGCTAGGTTTACCACCGTGAATTTCTTCCAATACCTGGGTAACTTTCTTCCTTGGTACCAGTAACTGAGTTGTTACTGTCCTGCCATCCGCACTTTCCCACGTCCGCTTTAACAATCCATTCTCAATCACCAGTGAATTCCACTGAGCCCAGAGAGCTTTGAAAACCAGCCCTCTGTCCGTAATATCCTGCCACGGTGGTCTTCGCCGTTACCTTCCTTGAGCCGTAGTATTGCTCCCGATGACGTGTTCTGGTGTTTCCCCATTTTCCCCACAGAATCTGCATGCGCCGTTGTTTCTAGCTTCAATCTACTGAAGTGTTCATTGAGGAGGCACTGTCCGAGAGTAAGGTTGATTCTCAGGTAAGGTTGATTTCAAGGTGGTAATAAGTGTCCATTTGAGAGTAATTCGTGAGAGTGACTCCTCGATAGTCACTCTAAAGAGAGTATCCATTTGAGAGCGATTTAAAGAATTTTGCTATCGGCTAGATAACTAAAAACTCTCCAAATGCTTACTGTCATACATATCTGTCAGGAGGGTATCCATTTGAGATTTCTGTTTCATCAACTGCCTTTCTTTGTGTATTAACGTGTTTTCTTGTTTTTTTTAATCAATTTAGTTATTCCTCATATAAAACATATATACAACACATAAATAATGTACAGCATATACCATATCATAAAAAGATCTGGGTGTCGTCCTTCATCTGTCGCATCAGTGACCCAGCTGGTACCAGATCCTGGCCAGATGGTATCGAAGGCATTCTTTTCTTAATTATTTCTGTCGTCGATTCCTGGATTTAGTGTATGGTTCTATTTAATATTAACCATTTAATCCTCTCTTTTGAATTGTATAAATTTCAATTTTTTTACCTTCTCTGCTAAACTATTGAATGTTTGAATTCTTTTTGCTGTTAGTCTCTGTGTTAATGTCTTATTTTTTACTTTATGGCATCTAATATGTGACTTTTTCCTTGTTTGGTAATTCTGAACTTCCTTGTTTGTATTTAATTTAGGTAAACAGTGCGTGATATAAGGTTTCCTCATGTTATTTGGTATCAATTTTTGAATTTTTATTAAAGCTGCAATTGTGCGTATATTTTCATTTTTCAGCTTTACTACATGAGCATCCCATTTCAACTTATTTTGTATTTTTAACCCTAAATAATTGATTGTTGATGTTTCTCGTAGAATATGGTTTTGTAGTTTTATTTGTAAGTTTAATTTTTGTTGTGTTGTTTTAAATATCATATATTCTGTTTTTAGCTCGTTTATGGTTAGGAGATTGTTGTAGCACCATCTGTGTTCTGATCTGTTCCTGTATATACTAAACATGTATCATCGGCATATCCATATATGATACCATTTAATGATTTAATCCTAGTTCGCTGAGATCGTTTGTATAAAAGATATACAGGAGAGATGGTAGATTTCCTCCTTGCGGTATCTCATATGGCGCCATGGTAGTTTTACTTTCAATATTTTCCATGCAAATTTTTTGTGGTCAAAAGACGATACTTTAATAAGTATATACGAGGAAAATACAGTTTGCTATTTTTTAAATAGCTTTCCGTCAGTTCTAGTATGTGTTGATTCAGTTTGTATTTTCGTAATTTTTCATTTAATTTGTTAGTGAATGAATAAATGAATAAATAATATGTGTAGTGTGAAAGAAACATAGAAGTGCAGATAGTTAATCCCATGGTATCCCACAAAACTGTATTTTCCTCGTATATACTTATTAAAGTATTATTTATTGATCAGATATTGTATTGCAATAATAAAAATTTTTACTACCTCCTATACAGAGTGCCTAAAAATTTATATTAAATAATTACTAGCTTTAAACGGCCATAATGTGTTTAAGTTAAATGGAACACCCTGTATATTTTACGTGAATCATATGCACAATTTAATTGTCTATCAAATTTTATTATACCATTTTTACCTATCTTTGACCACTCTTTTTGCGCGTAGCTGCCATTTTAAATTAATAATTCTCTGCTAGAACTATCACAATACGAAACGTAATCGTATTTCGGAAGTAACT